CTAGTACTGCTGTGTCTGCCTCATCTTCTGGGTTCTGACAATTATTAGTGACTGTTTCTCGCACCGGGTCGTGACAAACACCAGACGGGCTGCGGCGTTCTGGATGAGTTGTAGGGGTTTAATGGCACAGGCAGGGAGCCCAGCCAACAGCAAGTTGCAGTAATCCAGACGGGAGATGACAAGTGCCTGGATTAGGACCTGTGCCGCTTCCTGTGTAAGGCAGGGTCGTACTCTCCGAATGTTGTAGAGCATGAACCTGCAGGATCGGGTCACCGCCTTGATGTTAGCGGAGAACGACAGGGTGTTGTCCAGGGTCACAACAAGGCTCTTCGCACTCTGGGAGGAGGACACAACGGAGTTGTCAACCGTGATGGCGAGATCATGGAACGGGCAGTCCTTCCCCGGGAGGAAGAGCAGCTCCGTCTTGCCAGGGTTCAGCTTGAGGTGGTGATCCGTCATCCATACTGATATGTCTGCCAGACATGCAGAGATGCGATTCGCCACCTGGTTATTAGAAGGGGGAAAGGAGAAGATTAGTTGTGTATCGTCAGCGTAGCAATGATAGGAGAGGCCATGTGAGGATATGACAGAGCCAAGTGACTTGGTGTATAGGGAGAATAGGAGAGGGCCTAGAACTGAGCCCTGGGGGACACCAGTGGTGAGAGCACGTGGTGCGGAGACAGCTTCTCGCCACGCCACTTGGTAGGAGCGACCGGTCAGGTAGGACGCAATCCAGGAGTGAGCCGCGCCGGAGATGCCCAGCTCGGAGAGGGTGGAGAGGAGGATCTGATGGTTCACAGTATCAAAGGCAGCAGACAGGTCTAGAAGGACAAGAGCAGAGGAGAGAGAGTTAGCTTTAGCAGTGCGGAGAGCCTCCGTGACACAGAGAAGAGCAGTCTCAGTTGAATGACCAGTCCTGAAACCTGACTGGTTTGGATCAAGAAGATCATTCTGAGAGAGATAGCAAGAGAGTTGGCTAAAGACGGCATGCTCAATAGTTTTGGAGAGAAAAGAAAGAAGGGATACTGGTCTGTAGTTGTTGACGTCAGTGGGATCAAGTGTTGGTTTTTTGAGAAGGGGTGCAACTCTCGCTCTCTTGAAGACGGAAGGGACATAGCCAGCGGTCAAGGATGAGTTTATCAGCGAGGTTAGGTAGGGGAGAAGGTCACCGGAGATGGTCTGGAGAAGAGAGGAGGGGATGGGGTCAAGCGGGCAGGTTGTTGGGTGGCCTGCAGTCACAAGTCGCAGGATTTTATCTGGAGAGAGAGGGGAGAAAGAAGTCAAAGCATAGGGTAGGGCAGTGTGAGTAGGACCAGCAGTGTCATTAGACTTAATAAACGAGGATCGGATGTCGTCAACCTTCTTTTCAAAGTGGTTGACGAAGTCATCCACAGAGAGAGAGGAGGGGGGAGGGGGGGGGGGAGGATTCAGCAGGGAGGAGAATGTGGCAAAGAGCTTCCTAGGGTTAGAGGCAGATGCTTGGAATTTAGAATATTATATATTATTATATTATTTATATTTATATTATATTCAAATATCATGCATATCTTATTTTCCATCATTACCAATTAATATGCGTAATAATGTCGGCAGTTCATGCGTAGGATTTTAACATATAACCCGGATTGCCATTGTATTACATTTCATTTTTGACAAGCAATTATTATTTTAGCAAACAATTATTGTGCTTTATTTTATATTCTCCCTTGCAACAGATGTGGGATAAACACACACGCATATACTCTAACACACTCAACCCATTTCCTCCACAATCAACCATAAAATCAGATGCGCAACGGTTGTTACATCCCAGAGCCCAACTCAAGAAAGGACCTGATTTATCAATGCATATACAGTTACAGCTGATTGAGAAAGCATGCAAGATTGAGCAGAAATTGACAACAATGTGAGATTTGATTAATCTATTTAATCTATGTCAAGTCCTAGGTGATGGAGATCAGATCCACCCTCTTCACCTGAGACACAAACACTCTGGTCCCCAGTTGTAACCAATTTTTCCCAAGCATCTCCGTGCAGTCAGACCTTTGATTATTTTGTGCCACCTGGGCCACAATGATGGTTCTGGGATATGCAACCATTTCCTTTCTCACTCACTTAACGCCACTGAATCCGTGACAGCCACACTTATTCAAACACCAAAATGCACACCACGCCTTCCATCACAATTCATCCACACATACCCACATACTGTGCCTTCTATGTCTTCTGTTCGCTATGTTTTTATCTCCACTATGTTGATTGAGTACTTGTGTTCTAATTTAGTTGTATTTGAAGATGTATTATTTAACTTGTTATCTTTTCTTGTAATACTGTCTTATTCCTTTATAAATTACTATACCTACTATAAATATGTTTTATTATTACAATCTCTACCATGACTAGTATTGGGTGTTCCATTATTCGACTCCTCTATTAGAACTTTCAGAATAGCCATGGAGTGGTCTTTGTGTCGCGGAACATTTGGTTGTCAATATACAGTTTATCAACAACGAGAGCAACACGCTTCCCTTTTAATCTGTTTTCCTTGAAGATTGGGTACAGAACTTTGCGCCGTTCTGCAATCTCCCTCGGGAACTGATCATTCATGCCTATTTTCGTGCCAGCAAGTCTTTTTCCTAGGCTTTTAACCATTACTTTGTCCTTAAAAAAGGCAAATTTGGCAACGATTGGACACTCATATCTCTGCCCTCTTTGTCTGAAACGGTGTACACGATCGAGTTGGATTTTATCGACAACCTCGAGTGGAATCTGCAGCGCTGTAAGAAGTCCCTCGCTATTCTTTCTGTAATCTCTCCCTCCTTTTCCTGGATACCCGTAAGTACTAGATTTTCTCTCATCGATCTAGTTTGTATATCTAGTAAGGCTTCTCTCAGAAGTTTGTTCTCCTTTTTAAGTTCCTTAACGTCCGTTTCCATCCTAGTGACTGTCCCTTTTAGTTTTTTTGTATCTCTCTCCATTATCGCAGCTTTTCCGTCACTCATTTCCAGACTCGCCTTCAACTCTTTTACATCATTAACGACCAACTCCAGTATGCCCAGTTTGTCATTTATCGACTTCAACAGGTCGCTTTCCACACTTACCAGTCCGAGTGGTGAAAAGCATAAATCATCTGTATCAGTCGAGGAGTCTCGTTTTCTCTTGGAGATTGATTCTCCTCGTTTATCTTCAGTCATGTTTGGGTGTTGCGTGTTGTTGCAATATTTGTCGATACATTTCTCTAGCCTTATAATTTGTTTTGTGTTATTATCCAGAATGAATGTTATTACCCTCAAATATATGAAATGTTAATATTTAGTCTAACTTCCTGATATTGAATATTATGTTTTTATCTTGAGGTGAATTTTACCGCTTTGTGTTCAATACGCCATCTTGTTTCCCCACCCAATTGTTTGCTACTCGCTTCTCTGTCCATTTAGAGTCCCTTTGAACTGGAAGACATCTATGATATGACCCTCCATTATATCCAGCGATACCCCATAAATTACTCTATTGGCTCCTTGGTTCTGTCCTGGGGCATAGCACTCCCACTGCCTTTTCAGTCTCAAGGCTTTGGTCCGTTGGGTCGCATATTTGAAAAAAAAGATTAGCAGGTTTCAATTCGACAGGATTTTCTCCTTGCACAAGGCGTGATACTTTAAGAGGGTTTAAATATCTTAGCTGTAAGATCCCCTTTGTATGGGGACCTGCGTGATTCTGTTACCGGTTCTGACCAACGTTTTTGCTTGTAAAATTGTTCTGTGGATACTGTAGATGGAAATGGCTTGCATTAAGCGATAGCCCTAGCTCCCACAGACACAGTAGTCTTCTTCCTGTGTGACACAGGATGTGAAAACTAAAACCACTTAAAGCTGGAATGTCCCTCCTGACATTTCATTCGCTCTTCCGACTGTCCATCAACTCCTGGCAGAACCCTACATCACAGCCACGGACAAAAGCACATGCCTGCAGTCATTATATCGTAGCGCAGCAGGAGAGAGTGGTTTCATCATGGTAGCACATTCAGAGATCGATTTATAGCCATTCATCGTTAAACAGAAAACACTTTCTGTTTGTCATAGATGGACAATATTAATATGAGATGAAAGGCGAGTTCCTAACGGGTTCAGGAAGCGGGGCTAGAGCTCTGTGAGACCTTCACAGCGATGTGGGCAGACGTTCTGATCAAGAGACCTTTAGAAAATATGCACATTTTCTCTAACACTAAACATGCAAATATCTATTTTAGTTATAAGGAAGGTGAAAAAGTACAGTTAGTAATGTTATAATTTCATTATGCTATATTTAGAAAGCATATGTAATTTCAAGCATTATTCATACAGTTTTGTTGAATAGGAAATACATCATATAATATTTCATATTTTTATACTTGAGCTTGTGTCCTCAGAAGTGGCTACACCTCAGCAATGTATAACTATTTTTTACCAGAAAAGGTGAGATTTGAACCTTTCTTTGAGTATGCAGCATTACTAGTTATTGTTTAAGGCCCTCTCATGATAAATAATTACTTTTGGGGATTACGCAGATGACATTTTCGATGACATTTAGTTACATTTAACTGGTTAATGCTTGCCGCAAAAAATGATGCGCGCCCATCGATGTCGTGTTTTGTTATGATTCTGAACGGTCAGATAGCAACAATGACAAGAAGTAACGTATGGGAATCGTAGGTGGCTCGTTTCAGCAAGTTTTATCTTGTTCTTGATACCATGTCTTGTTTCGAGGTGTTTTGACTGATTTCATGTCAATGCTAATATGGCTAAAATTCACTAGCTAGCTAACCAACAACTGTAACGATGTATTTGAGAGATATTAAGTGCCCATTGAGCACATTTATTTATGTTTTCAATAAACATTGGAGACAAAATATAGTTTACATGTTGTCAACAATCTAAGCCTACCCCGTCTGTTTTGCTCAATAGTTGCGCACGTGTCGGTTTTGTTGTTAAACAACCAACCCGTCTATAACAAATCTAAAATAAAAATATATCACCTATTGGAAAGACCACAAAAACCCAAAGCAAACTTTAATGCTATTTGGCCTACACACACAGTTGTACACGATGGCAGACTTATGATCACAGTAACTGAGGAAAATACTGAATTGACAATGTGCAGACTCAGCCTGGCCATAGAGACCAGACCCTACGTTCATTATTGTACCTATAAAAACCATGTCGTGATCTGCTGTCACAGGCAGACCTGACTGCTCAGAGAGGACAGACTGTGGGAACTCTGCCCTGAGAGAGGTAGAATGTCCTTTTACACTGCAAGACATATGCAGACATACAGGCAATTTTCTTCCCAAAAAACGTAAAACAAATGCTAAGATTTTGAAAAGAGAAAATCCAATAACGGCTTTCTTGTTTCATTTGTGGTTTATTTCTTTGTTGCAATCATTTTCACCCCTCATATACTGTTATACTGGTTTAAATGAGCTTTATTTTCAACAGTAATATTATTTCGTAAGCGTACAACATTGTAATACTCTCCGTGTGAATCTTAAGTTCACACTTTTTCTTTGATTATTTGTGGAGAATCAGCAAAGAAGGGTACGTTTAGCATTTTGCTCTGTGGTTTAAGATACCACAAGGGATTAAAAGAGTCCTTCAAAATGGAAATCCAGAGTATTTTTGATACAATTGCATTGTGTTGAAACTCCCAACCGAAACTCCCAAAGGCTACGTTGAAAATCCAAAGACAGAAGTGCTTTATAAGGACTGCCTCTGACCATCAGTGCTGAACAAGTACTTTCATTAGTTATCAGAAACAGCCAAAACATCCCGGCTGAAGGATGAAATTGAGAACGCTCCATGAAGAAGAGTTGAACACTTGTCGTATCGGATGACATCACGCTGAAAAGAACAATCATATAAAACACAATGATTTTGTCAGGAGGAAAAAGTTAATGAAATTAGAATTTAACACATTTGTATTTTAAAGTAGAAGTTTGTTTTTGTGTACGACACGTTTTTTCTAAGTTTAGAAGCTTTAGTTACCGTCTTTACATCTTTGTTCCGAACACAGTCAATGTAGGGGTCAGTGCTGTCATGGAAGTTTTTGTTGCAAACAACACAGTTTATATAGGGCTGCAGAGACAGAAAGGACATACATAATAATAATAATATGCCATTTAGCAGACGCTTTTATCCAAAGCGACTTACAGTCACGTGCGCATACATTTTTACGTACGGGTGGTCCTGGGGATCAAACCCACTACCCTGGCATTACAAGCGCCGTGCTCTACCAATTGAGCTACAGAGGACCACATGAAGTAAGAATGTATAGACGTGGTAGATTGATTATATGAAATACTAAAGTCCTGCATTTGGACATGGGTGAGCTTTTACTGACCTCCTTCATAGTCCAGAGTCTAGGTAAATTCAATAACTTAACTGAAATCTACACCTCTCTTGTGCTTCAGCTTCGTTATCTTCACAAATCAGAAATGATCACAGAGGGCTACAACTCTAATCACACACATGGAGGATCCTTCCTACTGCCATGAAGTACTGCTCTAAACCAGAGCATGCCGTTATCTGGAGCAGTCCAATGTGCTCTTAGGGAGTTGAATGTATCCTCATCCTTTACAAGAAAACTATTTAAAATAGTATGTGGATATTTAAGTCTCACAGCTATGGCATGTTAATAAGTGATAAGAGGATAGTAGACTAATCATATACATGGAGGACCTGAACTACTCACCCTGTTGGGTTTAAAGCCACAGTCATGGCGATGTTTGTGTTCACTATCACTACTGGCCTTAGGGCAGACTGTTGCTTTCAATAACAAGTTGATTTTAAATTCCTGACCCTTGACCTATAGACAGAAAAAAAAATACAAATATTATAACAACGGTGAATCGTACATTAAAAAACTTTTTTTTTTTTAAAGACAAAACATTAATAATTTAATCTTACCTCAGATTGATCATTAACTTTGAAAAAATTGAGGTGCTCTTTTTTTGCAATGCTTTTTTGAATCTCGTCATCCTTATTTGCATATCTAATAACCATGTCAACATGTTTCTTGTCAAGCTCCCTCAACATATCATAGTTTTCCTGTCCCTTAGCTGTAAACAGCAAGGCTGCTGATGTGGCCAAAAGAACACTCAGGAGGCCATTCATCTTCATCTCAACACTGGACAGTTAGACACAATGCTAACACTGTAGGTATTTATAAAAAGCAGATCAAACGTTAACTTTGGTTCAAGGACTTTCACTCAAGTTCATTGGATGTTGGTCCTCTGCAGAGCAAATAAAATACACTTATTTGGTTTGGAGGCCTCATAGGTTGTCTTGTTAAAGTCCAGTGAACTGACGCTGTCATAAACACATTATGGTTTTGGCGTGCTCTCATGAAAATAGAGAGCGTTAACATACAGTGGGGAACCAATTGTGCTCACTTAAAAAGATGAGAGAGGCCTGTAATTTTCATCATAGGTACACGTCAACTATGACAGACAAAATGAGATTTTTTTTTCCAGAAAATCACATTGTAGGATTTTTAATGATTTTATTTGCAAATTATGGTGGAAAATAAGTATTTGGTCAATAACAAAAGTTTCTCAATACTTTGTTATATACCCTTGTTGGCAATGACACAGGTCAAACGTTTTCTGTAAGTCTTCACAAGGTTTTCACACAATGTTGCTGGATTTTGGCCCATTCCTCCATGCAGATCCCTCTAGAGCAGTGATGTTTTGGGCTGTCGTGGGCAACACAGACTTTCAACTCCCTCCAAGATTTTCTATGGGGTTGAGATCTGGATGACTGGGCTAGGCCACTCCAGGACCTTGAAATGCTTCTTACAAAGTCCACTCCTTCGTTGCCCGGGCGGTTGTGTTTTGGGATCATTGTCATGCTGGAAAGACCCAGCCACGTTTCATCTTCAATGCCCTTGCTGATGGAAGGAGGTTTTCACTCAAAATCTCACGATACATGGCCCCATTCATTCTTTCCTTTACACGGATCAGTCGTCCTGGTCCCTTTGCAGAAAAAACAGCCCACAAAGCATGATGTTTCTCCCCCATGCTTCACAGTAGGTATGGTGTTCTTTGGATGCAACTCAGCATTCTTTGTCCTCCAAACACGACGAGTTGAGTTTTTACCAAAAAGTTCTATTTTGGTTTCATCTGACCATATGACATTCTCCCAATCCTCTTCTGGATCATCCAAATGCACTCTAGCAAACTTCAGACGGGCCTGGACATGTACTGGCTTAAGCAGGGGGACACGTCTGGCACTGCAGGATTTGAGTCCCTGGCAGTGTAGTGTGTTACTGATGGTAGGCTTTGTTACTTTGGTCCCAGCTCTCTGCAGGTCATTCACTAGGTCCCCCCGTGTGGTTCTGGGATTTTTGCTCACCGTTCTTGTGATCATTTTGACCCCACGGGGTGAGATCTTGCGTGGAGCCCCAGATCGAGGGAGATTATCAGTGGTCTTGTATGCCTTCCATTTCCTAATAATTGCTCCCACAGTTGATTTATTCAAACCAAGCTGCTTACCTATTGCAGATTCAGTCTTCCCAGCCTGGTGCAGGTCTACAATTTTGTTTCTGGTGTCCTTTGACAGCTCTTTGGTCTTGGCCATAGTGGAGTTTGGAGTGTGACTGTTTGAGGTTGTGGACAGGTGTCTTTTATACTGATAACAAGTTCAAACAGGTGCCATTAATACAGGTAACGAGTGGAGGACAGAGGAGCCTCTTAAAGAAGAAGTTACAGGTCTGTGAGAGCCAGAAATCTTGCTTGTTTGTAGGTGACCAAATACTTATTTTCCACCATAATTTGCAAATAAATTCATTAAAAATCCTACAATGTGATTTTCTGGATTTTTTTTCTTCTCAAAGCCAGTGGTGCGCGTCGCCAGCCCGGTCCTGCCTGTTCCTGCCCCTCGCACCAAGCCAGTGGTGCACGTCGCCAGCCCGGTCCGGCCTGTTCCTGCCCCTCGCACCAAGCCAGTGGTGCACGTCGCCAGCCCGGTCCGGCCTGTTCCTGCCCCTCGCACCAAGCCAGTGGTGCGCGTCGCCAGCCCGGTCCGGCCTGTTCCTGCCCCTCGCACCAAGCCAGTGGTGCGCGTCGCCAGCCCGGTCCGGCCTGTTCCTGCCCCTCGCACCAAGCCAGTGGTGCGCGTCGCCAGCCCGGTCCGGCCTGTTCCTTCCCCTCGCACCAAGCCACTGTCCGACGACGACACTGTTGGCGCCGTACCTCCTCTCTCGCCAGGGCCTTAACTTTTGCCCATGGCCCTTTGCCCGCGAACATGTCCTCCCAGGACCACCATTGGCCCACCTGGGCCATCGCCAACTTCTCCAGCTCCTCTCCCGGCGTTCGCTCCTGAACACGCTGCTTGGTCCTGTATTGGTGGGATCTTCTGTCACGAACGTCGTAATTAGCGGACCAAGGCGCAGCGTGATATGCGTACATCTTGTAATGAGTACTTAATAACAATTGACAAAACAACAAAACGATACGTGAAGTCCAAGGTTAAACACCAAACACAAACCTTACACGGAACAAAATCCTACAAATGACAAGTGCAAACAGGCTGCCTAAGTATGGTTCCCAATCAGAGACAACGAGCCACAGCTGTCTCTAATTGGGAACCACCCTGGCCAACATAGAAATAAACGATTTAGAAAGAAACACATAGAAAACAAAACATAGACACTACACACCCTGGCTCAACATTTAAGAGTCCCCAGAGCCAGGGTGTGACAGGCACCAGTTAGGTTGTGGGATCTTGTTCCATTTGGGTTGTTGTGTATAACCTAGGACTTCACGTATCGTTTGTTTGTTGTTTTTGTTCGTGTTCAGTACTAATAAAGTATGTACGCTTATCACGCTGCGCCTTGGTCCGTGTCTTCCGTTAACGATCGTGACATTCGGATCGAAATTAATATTAATTAATATCATCAGCCTTTTTGAGTTTCTTTGCCCATGGGAGAAGTATATTTCGCCCCCCCATTCCTTTTCCCACGCAACTTAATCTAGGATTGTTGAATGAGTTTCCTGTAAACAATAGATATTATATTCCTTCTCTGTGAGCCATGTAAATATTGTTCTTCTTTTGTTATTATCTGCTAAGCCATTACAATTATAACTGGCTATACTTATTTCACCACATACCATAATGAGATACAAGTTTAAAATCTATTTATCATTGTATATGTTTGTAAATTTACCAATAAAAAATACCGTAATGATCGAGTGTCCATATAGCTGTACCATGATATTTGCATTGCTACTAAGTAACCCTCCAATTGTTCTCCACTAATTCCCCCGCTAAAGCCCCTCCCCATCCCAAGTTGAGCCGTCATCCCAGTGATCGGCATCCCACCCCCGTCCCTCCGGATCCCTAGGGCCCCAGAGAGGCCAGGACCCATCCATCGAAAACAGCACACAGTGCCACCCACAAAACAGAAGCAGGTTAACCGCCAAAAGCATTTCCAATGCTCTCACCTCAATATATATATATAAATATATAACTATTTAAAAATATATCTCTATTCTGCTAAATGGCATATTATTTACATTTACATTTACATTTTAGTCATTTAGCAGACGCTCTTATCCAGAGCGACTTACAAATTGGTGCATTCACCCTATAGCCAGTGGGATAACCACTTTACAATTATTTTATTTTTGTTTTTTTTTGTATTTTTTTGTATTTTTTTTTGTATTTTTTTTAGGGGGGGTGGGTTGGGGTAAGGGGGGGTAGAAGGATTACATTATCCTATCCCAGGTATTCCTTAAAGAGGTGGGGTTTCAAATGTCTCCGGAAGGTGGTGAGTGACTCCGCTGTCCTGGCGTCGTGAGGGAGCTTGTTCCACCATTGGGGTGCCAGAGCAGCGAACAGTTTTGACTGGGCTGAGCGGGAGCTATGCTTCCGCAGAGGAAGGGGAGCCAGCAGGCCAGAGGTGGATGAACGCAATGCCCTCGTTTGGGTGTAGGGACTGATCAGAGCCTGAAGGTACGGAGGTGCCGTTCCCCTCACTGCTTCATAGGCAAGCACCATGGTCTTGTAACGGATGCGAGCTTCAACTGGAAGCCAGTGGAGTGTGCGGAGGAGGGGGGTGACGTGAGAGAACTTGGGAAGGTTGAACACCAGACGGGCTGCGGCGTTCTGGATGAGTTGTAGGGGTTTAATGGCACAGGCAGGGAGCCCAGCCAACAGCAAGTTGCAGTAATCCAGACGGGAGATGACAAGTGCCTGGATTAGGACCTGTGCCGCTTCCTGTGTAAGGCAGGGTCGTACTCTCCGAATGTTGTAGAGCATGAACCTGCAGGATCGGGTCACCGCCTTGATGTTAGCGGAGAACGACAGGGTGTTGTCCAGGGTCACGCCAAGGCTCTTCGCACTCTGGGAGGAGGACACAACGGAGTTGTCAACCGTGATGGCGAGATCATGGAACGGGCAGTCCTTCCCCGGGAGGAAGAGCAGCTCCGTCTTGCCAGGGTTCAGCTTGAGGTGGTGATCCGTCATCCATACTGATATGTCTGCCAGACATGCAGAGATGCGATTCGCCACCTGGTTATTAGAAGGGGGAAAGGAGAAGATTAATTGTGTATCGTCAGCGTAGCAATGATAGGAGAGGCCATGTGAGGATATGACAGAGCCAAGTGACTTGGTGTATAGGGAGAATAGGAGAGGGCCTAGAACTGAGCCCTGGGGGACACCAGTGGTGAGAGCACGTGGTGCGGAGACAGCTTCTCGCCACGCCACTTGGTAGGAGCGACCGGTCAGGTAGGACGCAATCCAGGAGTGAGCCACGCCGGAGATGCCCAGCTCGGAGAGGGTGGAGAGGAGGATCTGATGGTTCACAGTATCAAAGGCAGCAGACAGGTCTAGAAGGACAAGAGCAGAGGAGAGAGAGTTAGCTTTAGCAGTGCGGAGAGCCTCCGTGACACAGAGAAGAGCAGTCTCAGTTGAATGACCAGTCCTGAAACCTGACTGGTTTGGATCAAGAAGGTCATTCTGAGAGAGATAGCAAGAGAGTTGGCTAAAGACGGCATGCTCAATAGTTTTGGAGAGAAAAGAAAGAAGGGATACTGGTCTGTAGTTGTTGACGTCAGTGGGATCAAGTGTTGGTTTTTTGAGAAGGGGTGCAACTCTCGCTCTCTTGAAGACGGAAGGGACATAGCCAGCGGTCAAGGATGAGTTTATCAGCGAGGTTAGGTAGGGGAGAAGGTCACCGGAGATGGTCTGGAGAAGAGAGGAGGGGATGGGGTCAAGCGGGCAGGTTGTTGGGTGGCCTGCAGTCACAAGTCGCAGGATTTTATCTGGAGAGAGAGGGGAGAAAGAAGTCAAAGCATAGGGTAGGGCAGTGTGAGTAGGACCAGCAGTGTCATTAGACTTAATAAACGAGGATCGGATGTCGTCAACCTTCTTTTCAAAGTGGTTGACGAAGTCATCCACAGAGAGAGAGGAGGGGGGAGGGGGGGGGGGGAGGATTCAGCAGGGAGGAGAATGTGGCAAAGAGCTTCCTAGGGTTAGAGGCAGATGCTTGGAATTTAGAATATTATATATTATTATATTATTTATATTTATATTATATTCAAATATCATGCATATCTTATTTTCCATCATTACCAATTAATATGCGTAATAATGTCGGCAGTTCATGCGTAGGATTTTAACATATAACCCGGATTGCCATTGTATTACATTTCATTTTTGACAAGCAATTATTATTTTAGCAAACAATTATTGTGCTTTATCCTATATTCTCCCTTGCAACAGATGTGGGATAAACACACACGCATATACTCTAACACACTCAACCCATTTCCTCCACAATCAACCATAAAATCAGATGCTCAACGGTTGTTACATCCCAGAGCCCAACTCAAGAAAGGACCTGATTTATCAATGCATATACAGTTACAGCTGATTGAGAAAGCATGCAAGATTGAGCAGAAATTGACAACAATGTGAGATTTGATTAATCTATTTAATCTATGTCAAGTCCTAGGTGATGGAGATCAGATCCACCCTCTTCACCTGAGACACAAACACTCTGGTCCCCCGTTGTAACCATTTTTCCCAAGCATCTCCGTGCAGTCAGACCTTTGATTATTTTGTGCCACCTGGGCCACAATGATGGTTCTGGGATATGCAACCATTTCCTTTCTCACTCACTTAACGCCACTGAATCCGTGACAGCCACACTTATTCAAACACCAAAATGCACACCACGCCTTCCATCACAATTCATCCACACATACCCACATACTGTGCCTTCTATGTCTTCTGTTTGCTATGTTTTTATCTCCACTATGTAGATTGAGTACTTGTGTTCTAATTTAGTTGTATTTGAAGATGTATTATTTAACGTGTTATCTTTTCTTGTAATACTGTCTTATTCCTTTATAAATTACTAAACCTACTATAAATATGTTTTATTATTACAATCTCTACCATGACTAGTATTGGGTGTTCCATTATTCGACTCCTCTATGAGAACTTTCAGAATAGCCATGGAGTGCTCTTTGTGTCGCGGAACATTTGGTTGTCAATATACAGTTGATCAACAACGAGAGCAACACGCTTCCCTTTTAATCTGTTTTCCTTGAAGATTGGGTACAGAACTTTGCGCCGCTCTGCAATCTCCCTCGGGAACTGATCATTCATGCCTATTTTCGTTCCAGCAAGTCTTTTTCCTAGGCTTTTAACCATTACTTTGTCCTTAAAAAAAGCAAATTTGGCAACGATTGGACGCTCATATCTCTGCCCTCTTTGTCCGAAACGGTGTACACGATCGAGTTGGTTTTTTTCGACAGCCTCGAGTGGAATCTGCAGCGCTGTAAGAAAAAAGTCCCTCACTATTCTTTCTGTAATCTCTCCCTCCTTTTCCTGGATACCCGTAAGTACTAGATTTTCACTCATCGATCTAGTCTGTATGTCTAGTAAGGCTTCTTTCAGAAAGTTGTTCTCCTTTTTAAGTTCCTTAACGTCTGTTTCTATCCTAGTGACTGTCCCTTTTAGTTTTTTTGTATCGCAACTTTTCCGTCACTCATTTCCAGACTCGCCTTCAACTCTTTTACATCATTACCTACCAACTCCAGTATGCCCAGTTTGTCATTTATCGACTTCAACAGGTCGCTTTCCACACTGACCAGTCCGAGTGGTGAAAAGCATAAATCATCTGTATCAGTCGAGGAGTCTCGTTTTCTCTTGGAGATTGATTCTCCTCGTTTATCTTCAGTCATGTTTGGGTGTTGCGTGTTGTTGTAATATTTGTCGATACATTTCTCTAGCCTTATAATTTGTTTTGTGTTATTATCCAGAATGAATGTTATTACCCTCAAATATATGAAATGTTAATATTTAGTCTAACTTCCTGATATTGAATATTATGTTTTTATCTTGAGGTGAATTTTACCGCTTTGTGTTCAATACGCCATCTTGTTTCCCCACCCAATTGTTTGCTACTCGCTTCTCTGTCCATTTAGAGTCCCTTTGAACTGGAAGACATCTATGATATGACCCTCCATTATATCCAGCGATACCCCATAAATGACTCTCTTGGCTCCTTGGTTCTGTCCTGGGGCATAGCACTCCCACTGCCTTTTCAGTCTCAAGGATTTGGTCCGTTGGGCCGCATATTTGAAAAAAAAGATTAGCAGGTTTCAATTCGACAGGATTTTCTCCTTGCACAAGGCGTGATACTTTAAGAGGGTTTAAATATCTTAGCTGTAAGATCCCCTTTGTATGGGGACCTGCGTGATTCTGGTACCGGTTCTGACCAACGTTTTTGCTTATAAAATTGTTCTGTGGATACTGTAGATGGAAATGGCTTGCATTAAGCGATAGCCCTAGCTCCCACAGACACAGTAGTCTTCTTCCTGTGTGACACAGGATGTGAAATCTAAAACCACTTAAAGCTGGAATGTCCCTCCTGACATTTCATTCGCTCTTCCGACTGTCCATCAACTCCTGGCAGAACCCTACATCACAGCCACGGACAAAAGCACATGCCTGCAGTCATTATATCGTAGCGCAGCAGGAGAGAGTGGTTTCATCATGGTAGCACATTGAGATCGATTTATAGCCATTCATCGTTAAACAGAAAACACTTTCTGTTTGTCATAGATGGACAATATTAATATGAGATGAAAGGCGAGTTCCTAACGGGTTCAGGAAGCCGGGCTAGAGCTCTGTGAGACTTTCACAGCGATGTGGGCAGACGTTCTGATCAAGAGACCTTTAGAAAATATGCACATTTTCTCTAACACTAAACATGCAAATATCTATTTTAGTTATAAGGAAGGTGAAAAATTACATTTAGTAATGTTATAATTTCATGATGCTATATTTAGAAAGCATATGTAATTTCAAGCATTATTCATACAGTTTTGTTGAATAGGAAATACATCATATAATATTTCATATTTTTATACTTGAGCTTGTGTCCTCAGAAGTGGCTACACCTCAGCAATGTATAACTATTTTTACCAGAAAAGGTGAGATTTGAACCTTTCTTTGAGTATGCAGCATTACTAGTTATTGTTTATGGCCCTCTCATGATAAATAATTACTTTTGGGGATTACGCAGATGACATTTTCGATGACATTTAGTTACATTTAACTGGTTAATGCTCGCCGCAAAAATGATGCGCGCCCATCGATGTTATGATTCTGAATGGTCAGATAGCAACAATGACAAGAAGTAACGTATGGGAATCGTAGGTGGCTTGTTTCAGCAAGTTTTATCTTGTTCTTGATACCATGTCTTGTTTCGAGGTGTTTTGACTGATTTCATGTCAATGCTAATATGGCTAAAATTCACTAGCTAGCTAACCAACAACTGTAACGATGTATTTGAGAGATATTAAGTGCCCATTGAGCACATTTATTTATGTTTTCAATAAACATTGGAGACAAAATATAGTTTACATGTTGTCAACAATCTAAGCCTACCCCGTCTGTTTTGCTCAATAGTTGCGCACGTGTCGGTTTTGTTGTTAAACAACCAACCCGTCTATAACAAATCTAAAATAAAAATATATCACCTATTGGAAAGACCACAAAAACCCAAAGCAAACTTTAATGCTATTTGGCCTACACACACAGTTGTACACGATGGCAGACTTATGATCACAGTAACTGAGGAAAATACTGAATTGACAATGTGCAGACACAGCCTGGCCATAGAGACCAGACCCTACGTTCATTATTGTACCTATAAAAACCATGTCGTGATCTGCTGTCACAGGCAGACCTGACTGCTCAGAGAGGACAGACTGTGGGAACTCTGCCATGAGAGAGGTAGAATGTCCTTTTACACTGCAAGACATATGCAGACATACAGGCAATTTTCTTCCCAAAAAACGTAAAACAAATGCTAAGATTTTGAAAAGAGAAAATCCAATAACGGCTTTCTTGTTTCATTTGTGGTTTATTTCTTTGTTGCAATCATTTTCACCCCTCATATACTGTTATACTGGTTAAATGAGCTTTATTTTCAACAGTAATATTATTTCGTAAGCGTACAACATTGTAATACTCTCCGTGTGAATCTTAAGTTCACACTTTTTCTTTGATTATTTGTGGAGAATCAGCAAAGAAGGGTACGTTTAGCATTTTGCTCTGTGGTTTAAGATACCACAAGGGATTAAAAGAGTCCTTCAAAATGGAAATCCAGAGTATTTTTGATACAATTGCATTGTGTTGAAACTCCCAACCGAAACTCCCAAAGGCTACGTTGAAAATCCAAAGACAGAAGTGCTTTATAAGGACTGCCTCTGACCATCAGTGCTGGACAAGTACTTTCATTAGTTATCAGAAACAGCCAAAACATCCAGTCATAAGGTTAAAACTGTTAACGCTCCATGAAGAAGAGTTGAACACTTGTCGTGTCGGATGACATCATGCTGAAAAGAACAATCATATAAAACACAATGATTTTGTCAGGAGGAAAAAGTTAATGAAATTAGAATTTAACACATTTGTATTTTAAAGTAGAAGTTTGTTTTTGTGTACGACACGTTTTTTCTAAGTTTAGAAGCTTTAGTTACCGTGTTTACATCGTTGTTCCGAACACAGTCAATGTAGGGGTCAGTGCTGTCATGGAAGTTTTTGTTGCAAACAACACAGTTTATATAGGGCTGCAGAGACAGAAAGGACATACATAATAATAATAATAATAATATGCCATTTAGCAGACGCTTTTATCCAAAGCGACTTACAGTCACGTGCGCATACATCTTTACGTACGGGTGGTCCCGGGGATCGAACCCACTACCCTGGCGTTACAAGCGCCGTGCTCTACCAATTGAGCTACAGAGGACCACATGAAGTAAGAATGTATAGACGTGGTTGATTGATTGTATGAAATACTAAAGTCCTGCATTTGGACATGGGTGAGCTTTTACTGACCTCCTTCATAGTCCAGAGTCTAGGTAAATTCAATAACTTAACTGAAATCTACACCTCTCTTGTGCTTCAGCTTCATTATCTTCACAAATCAGAAATGATCACAGAGGGCTACAACTCTAATCACACACATGGAGGATCCTTCCTACTGCCATGAAGTACTGCTCTAAACCAGAGCATGCCGTTATCTGGAGCAGTCCAATGTGCTCTTAGGGAGTTGAATGTATCCTCATCCTTTACAAGAAAACTATTTAAAATAGTATGTGGATATTTAAGTCTCACAGCTATGGCATGTTAATAAGTGATAAGAGGATAGTAGACTAATCATATACATAGAGGACCTGAACTACTCACCCTGTTGGGTTTAAAGCCACAGTCATGGCGATGTTTGTGTTCACTATCACTACTGGCCTTATGGCAGACTGTTGCTTTCAATAACAAGTTGATTTTAAATTCCTGACCCTTGACCTATAGACAGAAAAAAAATACAAATATTATAACAACGGTGAATCGTACATTAAAAAACATTTTAAAAAAAGACAAAACATTAATCATTTCATCTTACCTCAGATCTTCTAATAACTCCCCAAAAATTGAGGTGCTCTTTTTTTGCAATGCTTTTTTGAAGCTCGTCATCCTTATTTGCATATCTAATAACCATGTCAACATGTTTCTTGTCAAGCTCCCTCAACATATCATAGTTTTCCTGTCCCTTAGCTGTAAACAGCAAGGCTGCTGATGTGGCCAAAAGAACACTCAGGAGGCCATTAATCTTCATCTCAACACTGGACAGTTAGACACAATGCTAACACTGTAGGTATTTGTACAAAGCAGATCAAACGTTAACTTTGGTTCAAGGACTTTCACTCAAGTTCATTGGATCTTGGTCCTCTGCAGAGGCCTCATAGGTTGTCTTGTTAAAGTCCAGTGAACTGACGCTGTAATGAACACATTATGGTTTTGGCGTGCTCTCATGAAAATAGAGAGCGTTAACATACAGTGGGGGAAAAAAGTATTTAGTCAGCCACCAATTGTGCAAGTTCTCCCACTTAAAAATATGAGAGAGGCCTGTAATTTTCATCATAGGTACACGTCAACTATGACAGACAAAATGAGATTTTTTTTCTCCAGAAAATCACATTGTAGGATTTTTTATGATTTTATTTGCAAATTATGGTGGGAAATAAGTATTTGGTCAATAACAAAAGTTTCTCAATACTTTGTTATATACCCTTTGTTGGCAATGACACAGGTCAAACGTCGCTGGGCAACACAGACTTTCAACTCCCTCCAAAGATTTTCTATGGGGTTGAGATCTGGAGACTGGCTAGGCCACTCCAGGACCTTGAAATGCTTCTTACAAAGCCACTCCTTCGTTGCCCGGGCGGTGTGTTTGGGATCATTGTCATGCTGAAAGACCCAGCCACGTTTCATCTTCAATGCCCTTGCTGATGGAAGGAGGTTTTCACTCAAAATCTCACGATACATGGCCCCATTCATTCTTTCCTTTACACGGAGCAGTCGTCCTGGTCCCTTTGCAGAAAAACAGCCCCAAAGCATGATGTTTCCACCCCCATGCTTCACAGTAGGTATGGTGTTCTTTGGATGCAACTCAGCATTCTTTGTCCTCCAAACACGACGAGTTGAGTTTTTACCAAAAAGTTATGTTTTGGTTTCATCTGACCATATGACATTCTCCCAATCCTCTTCTGGATCATCCAAATGCACTCTAGCTAACTTCAGACGGGCCTGGACATGTACTGGCTTAAGCAGGGGGACACATCTCGCACTGCAGGATTTGAGTCCCTGGCGGTGTAGTGTGCTACTGATGGTAGGCTTTGTTACTTTGGTCCCAGCTCTCTGCAGGTCATTCACTAGGTCCCCCCGTGTGGTTCTGGGATTTTTGCTCACCGTTCTTGTGATCATTTTCACCCCACGGGGTGAGATCTTGCGTGGAGCCCCAGATCGAGGGAGATTATCAGTGGTCTTGTATGCCTTCCATTTCCTAATATTTGCTCCCACAGTTGATTTCTTCAAACCAAGCTGCTTACCTATTGCAGATTCAGTCGTCCCAGCCTGGTGCAGGTCTACAATTTTGTTTCTGGTGTCCTTTGACAGCTCTTTGGTCTTGGCCATAGTGGAGTTTGGAGTGTGACTGTTTGAGGTTGTGGACAGGTGTCTTTTATACTGATAACAAGTTCAAACAGGTGCCATTAATACAGGTAACGAGTGGAGGACAGAGGAGCCTCTTAAAGAAGAAGTTACAGGTCTGTGAGAGCCAGAAATCTTGCTTGTTTGTAGGTGACCAAATACTTATATTCCACCATAATTTGCAAATAAATTCATAAAAAATCCTACAATGTGATTTTCTGGAGAAAAACAAATCTCAAAACCAGTGGTGCGCGTCGCCAGCCCGGTCCGGCCTGTTCCTGCCCCTCGCACCAAGCCAGTTGTGCGCGTCGCCAGCCCGGTCCGGCCTGTTCCTGCCCCTCGCACCAAGCCAGTGGTGCGCGTCGCCAGCCCGGTCCGGCCTGTTCCTGCCCCTTGCACCAAGCCAGTGGTGCGCGTCGCCAGCCCTGTCCGGACCGTTCCTGCCCCTCGCAACAAGCCAATGGTGCGCGTCGCCAGCCCTGTCCGGCCCGTTCCTGCCCCTCGCACCAAGCAAGTGGTGCGCGTCGCCAGCCTGGTCCGGTCCGTTCCTGCCCCTCGCACCAAGCCAGTGGTGCGCGTCGCCAGCCGCCCCTCGTCACCGAACCAGTGGTGAGCGTCGCCAGCCCGGTCCGGCACTTTCCTGCCCCCCGCACCAAGCCAGTGGTGCGCGTCGTCAGCCCGGTCCGGCCCGTTCCTGCTCCCCGCACCAAGCCAGTGGTGCATGTCGTCAGCCCGGTCCGGCCCGTTCCTGCTCCCCGCACCAAGCCAGTGGTGCGCGTCGTCAGTCCGGTCCGTTCCTGCTCCCCGCACCAAGCCAGTGGTGCGGGCGGGTGTCCAGTCCGGCAAGGCCCGTGCCTGTTCCACCGGTGCCTAGTCCGGCACCGGTCAGCTGCTCCACTCCAGAGCCAGAGCAATCCGCTCCACCGGGGTCTTGTCCAACTCCAGTCAGTGGATCCACTCCGGAGCCAGAGCAATCCGCTCCACCGGTGTCCAGTCCAGCTCCGGCCAGCGGCTCCAGTCTGGACCCACCCTGCCCCTACCCTCTTGTGTTTGTGTGGCGCGGTCGCAGTCCGCGCCTTTGGGAGGGGGGTACTGTCACGCCCTGGCTCTGGGGACTCTGAAATGTTGAGCCAGGGTGTGTAGCTTCTATGTTGTTTTTTCTATGTTGGGGATTCTAGTTCATGTATTTCTATGTTGGCCGGTTGGTTCCCAATCAGAGTCAGCTGTGGTTCGTTGTCTCTGATTGGGAACCATACTTAAGCAGCCTGTTTGCACTAGTCATTGTGGGATCTTGTTCCGTGTTGTGTTTGTGTTTGTGTTTGTGTTTGTGTTGTGTTTGTGTTTGTGTTTGTGTTTGTGACCTAGGACTTCACGTATCGTTTTGTTGTTTTTGTTCGGGTGTGTACTTAAATAAAAATAGTGTACGCTTATCACGCTGCGCCTTGGTCCGTTGCTTACGACGATCGTGACAGTGAGACCTTCACAGCGATGTGGGCAGACGTTCTGATCAAGAGACCTTTAGAAAATATGCAAATTTTCTCTAACACTAAACATGCAAATATCTATTTTAGTTATAAGGAAGGTGAAAAATTACAGTTAGTAATGTTATAATTTCATTATGCTATATTTAGAAAGCATATGTAATTTCAAGCATTATTCATACAGTTTTGTTGAATAGGAAATACATCATATAATATTTCATATTTTTATACTTGAGCTTGTGTCCTCAGAAGTGGCTACACCTCAGCAATGTATAACTATTTTTCCAGAAAAGGTGAGATTTGAACCTTTCTTTGAGTATGCAGTATTACTAGTTATTGTTTATGGCCCTCTCATGATAAATAATTACTTTTGGGGATTACGCAGATGACATTTAGTTACATTTAACTGGTTAATGCTCGCTGCAAAAATTATGCACGCCCATCGATGGGGGCGGAAGCCGTGTTTTGTTATGATTCTGAACGGTCAGATAGCAACAATGACAAGAAGTAATGTGGGGAATCGTAGGTGGCTCGTTTCAGCAAGTTTTATCTTGTTCTTGATACCATGTCTTGTTTCGAGGTGTTTTGACTGATTTCATGTCAATGCTAATATGGCTAAAATTCGCTAGCTAGCTAACCAACAACTGTAACGATGTATTTGAGAGATATTAAGTGCCCATTGAGCCCATTTATTTATGTTTTCAATAAACATTGGAGACAAAATATAGTTTACATGTTGTCAACAATCTAAGCCAACCCCGTCTGTTTTGCTCCATAGTTGCGCACGTGTCGGTTTTGTTGTTAAACAACCAACCCGTCTATAACAAATCTAAAATAAAAATATATCACCTATTGGAAAGACCACAAAAACCCAAAGCAAACTTTAATGCTATTTGGCCTACACACACAGTTGTACACGATGGCAGACTTATGATCACAGTAACTGAGGAAAATACTGAATTGACAATGTGCAGACTCAGCCTGGCCATAGAGACCAGACCCTACGTTCATTATTGTACCTATAAAAACCATGTCGTGATCTGCTGTCACAGGCAGACCTGACTGCTCAGAGAGGACAGACTGTGGGAACTCTGCCCTGAGAGAGGTAGAATTTCCTTTTACACTGCAAGACATATGCAGACATACAGGCAATTTTCTTCCCAAAAACGTAAAACAAATGCTAAGATTTTGAAAAAGAGAAAATCCAATAACGGCTTTCTTGTTTCATTTGTGGTTTATTTCTTTGTTGCAATCATTTTCACCCCTCATATACTGTTATACTGGTTAAATGAGCTTTATTTTCATCAGTAATATTATTTCGTAAGCGTACAACATTGTAATACTCTCCGTGTGAATCTTAAGTTCACACTTTTTCTTTGATTATTTGTGGAGAATCAGCAAAGAAGGGTACGTTTAGCATTTTGCTCTGTGGTTTAAGATACCACAAGGGATTAAAAGAGTCCTTCAAAATGGAAATCCAGAGTATTTTTGATACAATTGCATTGTGTTGAAACTCCCAACCGAAACTCCCAAAGGCTACGTTGAAAGTCCAAAGACAGAAGTGCTTTATAAGGACTGCCTCTGACCATCAGTGCTGGACAAGTACTTTCATTAGTTATCAGAAACAGCCAAAGCATCCAGTCTGATGGTCTTCTTTGTCATTTGAGGCTATAGCTGTTTCCGCTCCACGAAGAAGAGTTGAACACTTGTCGTGTCGGATGACATCACGCTGAAAAGAACAATCATATAAAACACAATGATTTTGTCAGGAGGAAAAAGTTAATGAAATTAGAATTTAACACATTTGTATTTTAAAGTAGAAGTTTGTTTTTGTGTACGACACGTTTTTTCTAAGTTTAGAAGCTTAGTTACCGTCTTTACATCTTTGTTCCGAACACAGTCAATGTAGGGGTCAGTGCTGTCATGGAAGTTTTTGTTGCAAACAACTGTCACGGACAGAAGAGGACCCAAGAGCGCAAGTTCAAATTCAGAGTTCTTTATTGAAGGTTTCAGGCGGGAAGAGGAGTGCCAGGGGTGTCAGGGGTTCCAGGGGTGCTTGGGGCTCTGGGGTCTTTCAGGGTCCTGTGGGTACCTGTGCTCCGGGGGTCACCAAATGTCCGGGGGTGTCCAGTCCAAGTGCTTAGTGTGTGTGTTCCCCAGTGATGGAGCGGCGTATCGGGCTGAGGGTGGTGAAGCGTCTGGGCACGCTCATCTGGTGGTCGGAGACCGGAGGGGCTGAAGATCGGAGAGTAGTCGAGGTCCAGAAGGCAGGTCGGGATAGACGGGGCAGTAGAAACAAGGAGGCAGTCAAGAAAGGATCGGAATCACAAACAGGAGTCAGAGCGCAGACAGGCAGGTTACTGGTCCGGGTTTGAAGACGATCTGACAGGGCTTGGCTGAAAAACAGGGCTTGATATACTGGGAGAGGTTAGTGGGGAAATGCAGTTCAGCTGGCAGAGTAATTAGAACAGAGTGAGGCAAGGTGAGGATGGTGAGTGGGAAATGCAGTGCAGCTGGCCAGGTAACAAGAGCAGAGCAGGGCGGAGCCAGGTGGAGCTCGTTAGGCAGAGTAGGGAGAGAGTGAGCAGAGTGGCAGAGAATTGAATGCAATTAATGTTGCTACCAGGGAGAGAGAGTGCTCATGACAGGACCCCCCCTCCAAGGGACGGCCCCAGAAGTCCCAAGAACAACATCATGCCGGGAGGGTGGAGGGGAGCAGGCGGCGGGTCAGAACTCCTCCGAGCGGTCCGAGTGAATCTCCTCATCCTCAGAAGGAGCTGGAGGGTCACGGTCGGGAGACAGGACAGGCACTGAGACAGGAGCAGGGTCAGGCACAGGACAGGAAGCAGGGCGGGCAGGACGGCTAGGAACCCCCTCTTGGACGGCCCCTACGGATTGCAGGCTGATCAGGATGTAGTCGGTGGAAGTCAGTGATAAGGGTCCGGTCCACTATCCTCCTGGCCGGGATCCAGGTCCTCTCCTCTGGACCATATCCCTCCCAGTCAACGAGGTACTGGAGACCCCTACCCCTTCGCCTAGAGCGGAGCAGCCGCCGGACGGTGAAGACAGGACCGCCATCTACGAGGCGCGGAGGAGGTGGCGCCGGAGCTGCAGGGACCAGGGGACTTTCATGGACCGGCTTGACCTTGGAGACGTGGAAGGTGGGGTGGACCCGCATGGAAGCGGGCAACTGAAGTCGGGACCGCCGTTGGACTGATGACTTTCTGCACAGGAAAAGGACCAATGAAGCGAGGGGCCAGCTTTCGTGATTCAACCCGCAGCGGGCAGATCCCGGGCAGACAGCCAGACCTTCTGACCAACCCGGTAAGTAGTGCTGGGGTCCTCCGTCGGTTGGCACCGACGGCGTAGCTGGGTTCCAGACTTCAGGAGCACAGTGCGAGCCTGGGCCCAAGTGCGGCGGCAGCGGCGGGGCATACGCAAGAGCAGACGGACAGGTGGCATCCGCCTCCTGGCTGGCAAACAGTGGAGGTTGATACCCGTAGACACACTGAAAGGGGGAGAGCCCGGTTGAGGAAACTGGTGAGTGAATTATGGGCATATTCCACCCAGAGCAGGGTGTTGAGCCCAGGCCCGGGGATTTGGAAGCCACACACCTCAGTGCCTTCTCCAGCTCCTGGTTCATGCGTTCAGTCTGGGCCGTTTGACTGCGGGTGGAATCCAGACGATAGGCTGGCGTGGGCCCCAAGGAGATGACAGAACTTCTTCCAAAAGGTTGCTGAGAATTGCGGGCCCCGGTCTGACACTATATCCTGGGGGTAGGCCATGGATACGAAACACATGTTCCAGGACCACCTGGGAGGGTCTCTTTAGCAGAGGGGTAGTTTGGGAAGGGGCACGAAGTGGGTCATCTTACTAAAGCGGTCAACAATGGTAAGGATGACTGTGTGTCCGTCAGAGGGCGGAAGGCCCGTAACAAAAGTCCAGTGAAACGTGGGACCAGGGCCTCTTGGGTATGAGTAGGGGTTGCAGCAACCCAGCAGGAGGCTGGTTGGGGGTCTTGTTTCGGTTACAAGTGGGACAAGCTCGGATGAATTCTCGGACATCCCGTCTCATCCGCCGCCACCAGAACCGCTGGCGGACCAGATGAAGGGTGCGAGTGATGACCGGGATGACAGGCCAGAACGGGATTCGTGCCCCCACTGAATCCACAGGTGACCTGAGATTTGCTGGAACAAAACAGACGGTTTGGGGGGCGCTGGTGCTTGGACCTGGCTGGTCCCGAAGAGCCTCCATGACCTGCCTTCTCGATCTCCCAGGTGAGGGCACGCTACGACCAAGTGGCTGGGAAGAATGGGGGCTGTCATGGCGGTGGTCTCGTCCTTCTGAAACATCAGCGGGAAAGAGCATCAGGTTTGATGTTGCGAGATCCCGGGCGGTAGGAGAGCGTGAATTGAGCGCGTAAAGAACAGAGACCCACCGCTGTTGACGGGAGTTCAGCCTCCTGGCTGTTTGGATATACTCCAAGGTTCTTGTGGTCTGTTCCACACTACGAATGGTTCCTTTGACCCCTCTAACCAGTGCCGCCATTCTTCAAGGGCGAGCTTGACAGCCAAACAGCTCGCGGTTCCCAATGTCGTAGTTGCATTCGGCAGGGGTAGCCAGACGGGAGTAGAAAGTAGAAGCACAGGGGTGCATCTTGCCATCCTCAGCTGCTCTTTGAGAAAAGCACTGCACCCACTCCCACGTCCGAAGCATCTACCTCCACCACAAACTGCCTTGCTGCATCTGGCATCTGGGAGGATGGGAGCAGAAGATGAAACATGTCTTGAGGATATTGAAGGGCCTTATCAGCAGCTGATGTCCCATTGGTACGGTTGTTTAGTGCTGGTTAGCGCCGTGAGGGGTGCAGCCACTGTGGCTATAGTTTCTGATGAATCTCCTATAAAAGTTGGCAAAGCCCAGGAACTGTTGCAACTTTTTCCGAGACTCAGGAACTGGGCCAGGAAGTGACAGCCGACACCTTCGTGAGATCCATCTGAATGCTTGGCCCTCGGTCACCACATACCCCAGGAATGAAACGGTTTTGGCATGGAACTCGCCACTTCTCTGCCTTCACGAAAAGAGAAGAGAGTTCTCCAGCAGGGCGGCGCAGGACCAAACTGGACGTGGTGCGTGTGTTCTGACAGAGTCTTTGAGAATATTAAAATATCGTCAAAGGTACACAAAATACGAACGTATTTAGCATGTCCCTGAGGATATCATTCACTAGGGCTTGAAAAACTGCTGGGGCATTGGTGAGGCCGAAGGGCATGACGAGATATTCATAGTGGCCGGTTGGTGTGTTGAACGCTGTCTTCCATTCGTCTCCCTCCCTCATCCGCACCAGATGGGTAGGCATTGCGAAGGTCCAGCTTTGTGAATACAGTGGCTCCCTGCAGCAGTTCGAAGGCAGACGAAAGTAAGGGCAGTGGGGGTAGCGATTCTTAACCGTGATGTCGTTTCAGACCCCGGTAATCTATGCATGGACGAAGAGAACCGTCCTTCTTGCCGACAAAGAAGAATCCCGCTCCTGCGGGGGAAGATGACGGTCTAATTATCCCGGCGGCAAGAGAGTCATTAATGTAGTCCTCCATGGCCTTTCTTTCCGGGGCTGACAGTGAATACAGAACGACCCTTGGGAGGTGCTGTGCCAGGCAGGAGATCAATCGCGCAGTCATAGGGTCTGTGTGGGGGTAGAGATGTCGCCTTGGATTTGTTGAACACCTCTTTCAGGCTGGTGGTAACAGGCCGGAACATTGGATATGTCGGGGGTAGCGCTAGATCTTTCCCGGTGAACGGGCAGGGTGGCCCCCCTTAAACAGGTTCTGGTGACAACTCCTTCCCCACTCACGGACTGTTCCTGTCTCCCAGTCGATGTGGGGGTTGTGCTGACGGAGCCACGGGTATCCAAGAATGAGTGGTTGGCCAGGTGAGTGTAGGAGGTGAAACTGGATGGACTCCTGGTGGTTTCCTGACAGCAGGATTGTCACAGGGGCGGAGATATGAGTGACAGTGCCAAGATGATGCCCATCCAGGGCTCGTTGCAGGAATGGGTTGTGTCAGTTGATGATGGTTCACGCCCAGTTGCTGTGCAAGCTCAGGGTCCATGATGTTTGCTTCGGCTCCGGAATCCACAAGGGCGGCCAATGTATGAGTCTTGTCAGAAAGCTGAAGGCGGAGATGAAGCAGGGTCTTTCGGATGGAGGGAGACTGAAGGCTTGTTGAGCTCACCCGGATCTCCCCTACACCTGGTGAGCTGCGGCTTTTGCCGGACAAGTGGCGACACGGTGATTTTCGCCACCACAGTAGAGGCAAAGGTTGGAGCTTAGACGGCGCCGACGCTCCTCGGGAGTCAGAGAGGCACGGCCAATCTCCATGGGCTCAGGCTGATTGAGTTGGCTATGGGACTTGACAGGCAGGGGCTGGACAGAAGCGGTATCGACCCGAGTGCGGATGGCAGGTTGACTGAGACGGCCCTTCTCCCTCCTCCGGGTCTGTATACGGCGGTCAATGCGGACGGCAAGGTCAATGGCGGCATCAAGCGTTGAGGGCGGGGTCATGGGAAACAAGCTCGTCTTTGATATAGTCCGCCAGGCTATGGAGGAAGGCTTGCACCAGTGCCTCTGGGTTAAACGAGCTTTGACTGGCCAGGGTACGAAAGTCAATGGAGAAGTCTGCCACTGTCCGATTGCCCTGGACGGATGGTGAGCAGAGCTTGTGACGCTTCGGCTGTTGGCGAGCCTAGGTCAAAGACCTTTAACATCTCCTCCTCAAAGGCACTGAAGGAGGCACAGGCTGGGTTTTGCCGGTCGAATTCCGCCGTTCCCCCACAACCGAGCTCGACCGGTGAGATGTGTGATGACATACCCCACCTTGGCTCCCTCTGTTGAGAAAAGTCCTGGGCTGTAGTGCAAACTGGATTCGGCAGCTGCTCAAGAATGGTCTTACTTGCTTCTGGTTGCCATCAAAACGTTCCGGGTTCCCAATCTTTGGTTCAGGAGCGTGGGGATCTGGTGGCAGCACTGCCGGGCCTGCAGCATTGGGACCTCCAGCGGAGGGATGAAGGAGTGTCGGTGGTACAGGAACAGAAGGACCAGGGGGGGGTGCAGGTGGAGTAGCCGGGTTTGAGAGTAGTTGCAGGGCTTGGGCTAGCTGTTGTTGCTGCAGTTGGAACTGTTGTTGCTGCTGGTTGAATAGCTGGAGAAGGGAAGCGATGTCGCCAGCCATCCGATTTATGTCTCCCTCAGAGCGTTCCAGTCGCTGTAGGGCAGTCATCTCTGGCTCTTCTTCCATCGTGGTCAGGGAGTGCGCTGGGTCCATGATGGTCAGATCGTTCTGTCACGGACAGAAGAGGACCCAAGAGCGCAAGTTCAAATTCAGAGTTCTTTATTGAAGGTTTCAGGCGGGAAGAGGAGTGCCAGGGGTGTCAGGGGTTCCAGGGGTGCTTGGGGCTCTGGGGTCTTTCAGGGTCCTGTGGGTACCTGTGCTCCGGGGGTCACCAAATGTCCGGGGGTGTCCAGTCCAAGTGCTTAGTGTGTGTGTTCCCCAGTGATGGAGCGGCGTATCGGGCTGAGGGTGGTGAAGCGTCTGGGCACGCTCATCTGGTGGTCGGAGACCGGAGGGGCTGAAGATCGGAGAGTAGTCGAGGTCCAGAAGGCAGGTCGGGATAGACGGGGCAGTAGAACAAGGAGGCAGTCAAGAAAGGATCGGAATCACAAACAGGAGTCAGAGCGCAGACAGGCAGGTTACTGGTCCGGGTTTGAAGACGATCTGACAGGGCTTGGCTGAAAAACAGGGCTTGATATACTGGGAGAGGTTAGTGGGGAAATGCAGTTCAGCTGGCAGAGTAATTAGAACAGAGTGAGGCAAGGTGAGGATGGTGAGTGGGAAATGCAGTGCAGCTGGCCAGGTAACAAGAGCAGAGCAGGGCGGAGCCAGGTGGAGCTCGTTAGGCAGAGTAGGGAGAGAGTGAGCAGAGTGGCAGAGAATTGAATGCAATTAATGTTGCTACCAGGGAGAGAGAGTGCTCATGACAACAACACAGTTTATATAGGGCTGCAGAGACAGAAAGGACATACATAATAATAATAAGCCATTTAGCAGACGCTTTTATCCAAAGCGACTTACAGTCACGTGCGCATACATTTTTACGTACAGGTGGTCCCGGGGATCGAACCCACTACCCTGGCGTTACAAGCACCGTGCTCTACCAATTGAGCTACAGAGGACCACATGAAGTAAGAATGTATAGACGTGGTTGATTGATTATATGAAATACTAAAGTCCTGCATTTGGACATGGGTGAGCTTTTACTGACCTCCTTCATAGTCCAGAGTCTAGGTAAATTCAATAACTTAACTGAAATCTACACCTCTCTTGTGCTTCAGCTTCATTATCTTCACAAATCAGAAATGATCACAGAGGGCTACAACTCTAATCACACACATGGAGGATCCTTCCTACTGCCATGAAGTACTGCTCTAAACCAGAGCATGCAGTTATCTGGAGCAGTCCAATGTGCTCTTAGGGAGTTGAATGTATCCTCATCCTTTACAAGAAAACTATTTAAAATAGTATGTGGATATTTAAGTCTCACAGCTATGGCATGTTAATAAGTGATAAGAGGATAGTAGACTAATCATATACATGGAGGACCTGAACTACTCACCCTGTTGGTTTTAAATTCACAGTCATGGCGATGTTTGTGTTCACTATCTCTACTGGCCTTAGGGCAGACTGTTGCTTTCAATAACAAGTTGATTTTCAATTCCTGACCCTTGACCTATAGACAGAAAAAAAAATACAAATATTATAACAATGGTGAATCGTACATTAAAAAACATTTTTTTTTTAAAAGACAAAACATTAATAATTTAATCTTACCTCATATGGTTCAATAACTTTGCAAAAATTGAGGTGCTCATTTTTTGCAATGCTATTCTTATTTGCATATCTAATAACCATGTCAACATGTTTCTTCTCAAGCTCCCTCAACATATCATAGTTTTCCAGTCCCTTAGCTGTAAACAGCAAGGCTGCTGATGTGGCCAAAAGAACACTCAGGAGGCCATGCATCTTCATCTCAACACTGGACAGTTAGACACAATGCTAATAGGTATTTGTACAAAGCAGATCAAACGTTAACTTTGGTTCTTTCACTCAAGTTCATTGGACCTTGGTCCTTTGCAGAGCAAATAAAATACACTTATTTGGTTTGGAGGCCTCATAGGTTGTCTTGTTAAAGTCCAGTGAACTGACGCTGTAATGAACACATTATGGTTTTGGCGTGCTCTCATGAAAATAGAGAGCGTTAACATAGCATGCAGACTAGAACGGGCACGCGCTTGCGTCCGCATGTTGATATTTGTCCATCCACACCAGACAAGATCAGGACATGCAAGTTGAAATATCAAAACAAACTCTGAACCAATTATATTTATTTGGGGGCGGGACACTGTTGTTAGTGCCTTTTCTTGCCAGTTTACAATCAACGATAGTAGTTGATGGTAGCACTTTCAGGCATCCCTTGTTTCTTTCTATTTTCTTCAGCTCTGTCACAAGGCTGTGGACAAATGCCTCATCCTCAGAGCTAGCAGCAGAAGGGATTGGCTTCCTGACAAACGCAAGCAGCTCTTCATTCACATCTTGATGGTTGACCTTCTGTTTTCTTTTTCTTGGCTGCCAGTCTTGAGCCGTGTCTGTAGTGGTTGTTCTTGACCGTTGTTCAGGCGTCTGAAGCACAGGGTCACAGGGTCATGGCTCGGGGACATCACGTCGTCTTCAGTGTCATCGAGCTCCACAGGTTGTGGATGAGGCAAATCAAGCATTTCCAAGGCTGAGGTTGCCTCTTGAGCTGAAAATAGGTCAACATATAAATGAAAAGTCAAATGTGTTTAAGTAAACTTTAGAAACCTCAGCTCAGGCCTTAATGGCCATGTACTGTTATAATCTCCACCCTGCACAGCCAGAAGGGGACTGGCCACCCCTCAGAGCCTGGTTCCTCTCTAGGTTTCTTCCTAGGTTTCTGCCATTCTAGAGAGTTTTTCCTAGCCACCGTGCTTCTACATCTGCATTGCTTGCTGTTTGGGGTTTTAGGCTGGGTTTCTGTATAGCACTTTGTGACATCTGCTGATGTAAAAAGGGCTTTTATAAATTAATTTGATTGAAATTTGATTGAATTAATCAAATCTGGGCCACAAAGTCTAACGCTGCTGGTTTTCATCATTCCTCTGTAATAAGGGACTGATTCATAATCTATAGGCCTATATAATCACTAATTCAGAAATGGGACACCAGTTGACATTAACCAATCAAGTAGTTACTTAGCAAGTATAAAATAAGGCCAGCAAGACCTTGAGGTTCTTAATTCAGTGCAATCAATTCAAATGTATATTATAACTTCCCTTCTTGGCTGAATGTAAGGTGTCAAGAATGATAATATTTTCACGTATTTCCATTCTTTCTGATTGGTTCCCCCAGAACCGCTGGGTTGGGCCTTCCGTAGATGCCTTAGAAAAGTGTCACGGAGGGACTTCCATCTGGTTTTACACAATTCAACATCTGTGAAAAATAAAATAGAATTGATTGTTAACCAATAACAAAACATTTATTTTGTCGTCATCACAGGTACTTGGCATCTGGAGACTCTATTTGCAGCCTGGCCTTCACCTATCGTCATGGATTAGAGACAGTGTTGCAGTACATTTTGCAGCCTGGCCTTCACCTATCGTCATGGATTAGAGACAGTGTTGCAGTACATTATGGAGACCTGTGAGGTCATAGAGAGGAGGATGCTGGCGACCCCAAGTGTTTAACCTCTGTGGCATAATTGACTTCCAGGACAGAATGGTTGTAGCTAGGCCTACTTAGATGCACTGTGTGTGTGTGTGTGTGTGTGTGTGTGTGTGTGTGTGTGTGTGTGTGTGTGTGTGTGTGTGTGTGTGTTGTGTGTGTGTGTGTGTGTGTGTGTGTGTGTGTGTGAAGTAATTCTACCTGATTGTTTATAAACATGATAATGTTTGTATGTTCACCTTTGACAACATCTTCATTTGTTTTGTGTATTTATTCTACACTTTACAACTATTGTACCATTCCACCATTATTTCAACAATGAACAAAAAAAACAAGTACATTTGAAAAATTGAAATACTAGTAATTTTCCACCAATATTTCGAAAAAAAAATTATTTCACCTTTATTTAACCAGGTAAGCCAGTTGAGAACAAGTTCTCATTTACAACTGCGACCTGGCCAAGATAAAGCAAAGCAATGCGATAAAAACAACACAGAGTTACATATGGGGTAAAACAAAACATAAAGTCAAAAATACAACAGAAAATAGTGTGTGCGAATGTAGTAAGTTATGGAGGTAAGGCAATAAATAAATAGGCCATAGTGCAAAAATAGTTACACTTTCGTAATTAACACTGGAATGATAGATGTGCAAAAGATGATGTGCAAATAGAGATACTGGGGTGCAAATTAGCAAAATAAATAACAATATGGGGATGAGGTAGTTGGGTGGGCTAATTTCAGATGGGCTGTGTACAGGTGCAGTGATCGGTAAGCTGCTCTGACAACTGACACTTAAAGTTAGTGAGGGAGATAAGAGTCTCCAGCTTCAGAGATTTTTGCAGTTCGTTCCAGTCATTGGCAGCAGAGAACTGGAAGGAATGGCGGCCAAAGGAGGTGTTGGCTTTGGGGATGAACAGTGAGATATACCTGCTGGAGCGCAGACTACGGGTGGGTGTTGCTATGGTGACCAGTGAGCTAAGATAAGACAGGGATTTGCCTAGCAGTGATTTATAGATGACCTGGAGCCAGTGAGTTTGGCGACGAATATGTAGTGAGGGCCAGCCAACAAGAGCGTACAGGTCACAATGGTGGGTAGTGTATGGGGCTTTGGTGACAAAACGGATGGCACTGTGATAGACTACATCCAATTTGCTGAGTAGAGTGTTGGAGGCTATTTTGTAAATGACATCGCCGAAGTCAAGGATCGGTAGGATAGTCAGTTTTACGAGGGCATGTTTGGCAGCATGAGTGAAGGAGGCATTGTTGCGAAATAGGAAGCCGATTCTAGATCTAACTTTTGATTGGAGATGCTTAATGTGAGTCTGGAAGGAGAGTTTACAGTCTAACCAGACACCTAGGTATTTGTAGTTGTCCACATACTCTAGGTTAGACCCACTGAGAGTAGTGATTCTAGTCGGGTGGGCGGGTGCAAGCAGCGTTCGGTTGAAGAGCATGCATTTAGTTTTACTAGTGTTTAAGAGCAGTTGGAGGCTACGGAAGGAGTGTTGTATGGCGTTGAAGCTCGTTTGGAAGTTTGTTAACACAGTGTCCAATGAAGGGCCAGATGTATACAAAATGGTGTCGTCCGCATAGAGGTGGATCGGAGCGTCACCAGCAGCAAGAGAGACATCATTGATATACACAGAGAATAGAGTCGGCCCGAGAATGGAACCCTGTGGCACCCCCCATAGAGACGGCCAGAGGTCCAGACAACAGGCCCTCCGATTTGACACATTGAACTCTATCTGAGAAGTAGTTGGTGAATCAGGAGAGGCAGTCATTAGAAAAACCAAGGCTATTTAGTCTGCGGTGGTTGACAGAGTCGAAAGCCTTGGCCAGGTCGATGAAGACGGCTACGCAGTACTGTCTTTTATCGATCGCGGTTATAATATCGTTTAGGACCTTGAGCGTGGCTGAAGTGCACCCATGACCAGCTCGGAAACCGGATTGCATAGCGGAGAAGGTACGGTGGGATTCGAAAATGGTCGGTGATCTGTTTGTTAGCTTGGCTTTCAAATACTTTCGAAAGGCAGGGCAGGATGGATATAGGTCTGTAACAGTTTGGATCTAGAGTGTCACCCCCTTTGAAGAGGGGGATGACCGCGGCAGCTTTCCAATCTCTGAAGATCCCAGACATTACGAAAGAGAGTTTGAACAGGCTAGTAATAGGGGTTGCGACGATTTCGGCAGCTAATTTTAGAAAGAAAGGGTCCAGATTGTCTAGCCCAGCTGATTTGTAGGGGTCCAGATTTTTCAGCTCTTTCAGAACATCAGCTGTCTGAATTTGTGTGAAGGAGAAGCGGGGGGGGGGGGGGGGGGGGGGGGGGGGCATGGGCAAGTTGCAGCGGAAGGTGCAGAGCTGGTGGCCGGGGTAGTGGTAGCCAGGTAGAAAGCATGGCCAGCCGTCGCAAAATGCTTGTTGAAATTCTCGATTATTGTAGATTTATCAGTGGTGACAGTGTTTCCTAGCCTCAGTGCAGTGGGCAGTTGGGAGGAGGTGCTCTTATTTTCCATGGACTTTACAGTGTCCCAAAACTTTTGGAGTTAGTGCTACAGGATGCAAATTTCTGTTTGAAAAAGCTAGCCTTTGCTTTCCTAACTGATTGTGTACATTGGTTCCTGACTTCCCTGAAAAGTTGCATATCGCGGGGGCTGTTCGATACTAATGCAGTATGCCACAGGATGTTTTTGTGCTGGTCAAGGGCAGTCAAGTCTGAGGAGAACCAGGGGCTATATGTCACGATCGTCTAAGGAAAAGGACCAAGGCGCAGCGTTGAACGTGAACATATTTATTTAATTTGATGATCACACGATCAAAACAACAAAAGGACGACGTGATAGTCAATGGTCATACACTAACCAAAATACGAACAAGAAACCACAAACACAAAGTGAAAGACAGACAGTTAAATATGGCTCCCAATCAGAGACAACCAGCTGACACTCGTTGCCTCTGATTGGGAGTCACTCAGGCCAACATAGAAATACAACATATAGACTATCCACACCCTGGCTCAACATATAGAGTCCCAGAGCCAGGGTGTGACAGTACCCCCCCCTAAAGGCGCGGACTGCGACCGCGCCTAAACGTACACAAACCAGGGGAGGCTGGGTGGGCATTCCTCCTCGGAGGCGGTTCCGGTTCCGGGCTTGACCACCACCCTTCCACCATCCCCCCGTGGCGCCCCTGGTCCGGTCTGGCCCCGCTGGGCTGGAGCTGGACCGGACATCGTTGAAGCGGACCGCTTAGGCTCCGGTGTGGAGCAGCTGACCGGTACCTTACCAGGCACCGGTGACCCAGGCACGGGTTGTGCGGGACTGACAACGCGCACCCCTGGCTTGTTGCGTGGAGTAGGAACGGGCCGGACCGGGCTGACGATGCGCAACCCTGGCTTGGTGCGTGGAGTAGGAACGGGCCGGACCGGGCTGACATGCGCACCCCTGGCTTGGTGTGTGGAGTAGGAACGGGCCGGACCGGGCTGACGATGCGCACCCCTGGCTTGGTGCGTGGAGTAGGAACGGGCCGGACCGGGCTGACGATGCGCACCCCTGGCTTGGTGCGTGGAGTAGGAACGGGCCGGACCGGGCTGACGATGCGCACCCCTGGCTTGGTGCGTGGAGTAGGAACGGGCCGGACCGGACTGACGATGCGCACCCCTGGCTTGGTGCGTGGAGTAGGAACCGGCCGGACCGGCTGACGATGCGCACCCCTGACTTGGTGCGGGGAGCAGGAACAGACCGGACCGTACTGGGGACACACACCACTGGCCCTACAACCGGGATCTGGAACGGGCCGGACCGGACTGGCAACACACGCCAGTACCTCTCGCCGTGCCTCTACATCCTCCATCCCCTCTTCGACCATGTGGCCCCCGTAACCTGGCGGCCTCCTCTGGCAACCCGCTGGGCCGCTCTATCGCGGTCC